ATGCCAATGATAACATCGAAGCTTTTTATGGAGATTGGTATAAATGGCAAGGGTACAACCTATGAATATATCGTTAGCGTTCTCTTTCTTACCGTTAGCCATCTCGACGGTAAACGTTTCAGTCAATGGTTAGGGACTATGTTTAAGAAGATGTTTGAATGAATGGCTAACAAAACATCTTTCAACACCAGAATGAAAAAGGATGCAAGCATAAGAGTTGTCGAGAAGGAACGTACCCGTGACGATGGTGGGATCGGTGGCTGCCTCATCTCGCCCCACAGTTAAAACTTTCCCGGTCTTGCCAATTGTTTCTGCCTTGGGGTAGTTTCGCTTGAAATGCCCGACTTCACCGCACCCATAGCAGGCCTAACCGACACCCGCTCCGGAAGCTTGATTGGTTGGTTGGGCTGGTGTTTTGAAGTTTTGAGCAATGTGGTCCTATTTGCCACAGCTGTTGCAGAGCATCTCACGACATGGACCGGAAGTGAGATGATGATAGTTTCTCTTGCTGCACCTAGGAGGTCACCATCATACCTATTGGTAGGTGCTTGAGCTGCAGGATCAACGACAGGAGTAGTAGCAGCGTGGATTGTCATAGTTTTGTGCTTCTTGGAGGGCCCTTGCGAACTCTGAACCTTTTACTTGTTCCATAATTTCTTTTTACCCTTACTACACTCCTTCCGGTGTCCTTGATCACCTTCCTGATTTTGGGGATGGGTGCCACTTTCTGTCCCGCCAGACCCATCGGGGTTCAAGTGTGACATTGCAGCCGCTAATGCAGTAGTAACAACTTCCTGAAATATGACAGGGTCGAATTGAGGGGGATTGTTGTTCCTTAAGTTGGGTCCTTTCCTTGGAGGCATATTGATCTAAATGATTAGGAAGAGAGGATGGTAAGTCCTCTGAATTGAATCAAGTGATATGGAACAAGAGATATCTCATTATGGCAAATAAAGTGTTCTATCATGCGATAATATATAGAAAAGCTATCAAAGCAAGGGAATTTATCGCCAAGGGAAATTAGTAGCAACACTTGAATGAGGATTTCTATAATGAAGTTGACTCTAGAAAATACACCCATAGTGTTTTATGTTTTTCTGCGACGATGACTCATTGTTTGGATATTTGGTAAGTTTTAGGCATGCTGCACACCACAGTCACTCCTAAGCACATGTTGGTAGTTTCTCGAATGAATATAGTTGATTAAGCTATATTGACCTAGACACGACTACATAACTGCCCAGGTTTAACTGCAGTGTACAACACCCAATTACTTATGTTTTGTTCTACTCGTGGTTACTGATCCTGGCGTTTAGGTATTCTTGTATACTTGGATTAAAAATAGTTATATTTTCAAAGTATACTTTTAGTTCAGAGCAGTTCGGCCCCTTAGTGTTTATAGTTATATACCATGTAAGGTTCGGTATACTTAGTTTACTATAAACAAGGGCTCTGATACCAATCTGTCACACCCCAAAACCGATGGCGGAAACGTTCCGGGGTGGAGGACATCATGTAAAGTATCACAACCAATGTACATAGCAAGCATAGTAAACACAACCATTACATTACATAGGAATATTTACATTTGTTTGAAAGCAAAGTAATACATGTTTATATATACATCAGTATGAACAAAAGTAAAGACGAGACTTCTACACGCTCCGTCTTCTCCAAAAGAACGCGTGATACATGTCTAACGAGAACCTGAGAATACAAGCAGTTTTAAAAATATCAGCATAAAGCTGGTGAGTTCATAAGCAGTTTGTTTCTAGTAAAAGAATAAGTTTTCCTTTGATTTTATGAAAAGTTGTTTCCCAAGAAAATCTTATATTTTCTTATAAAAGTAGTTTGGTTATTCATTTGTTAAACAACCTGTTCATGAAAAGTAAAGTTATCCCAGGAAAAACCCTTATTTTCTTTAAAAGTTGGTGGTTGGTTATCGATCCGGAATGAAGTGTACAAGTATCTACCATATTTGTATTGTTAAGTGAAGTTTCCCTAAAAGTCTGTTTATCCTTAAAAAGTAGATTAATTTTAACATGTATATAAAACTAATAAGTAGGTAGTAAACTAATTCCTAAGGGTATTAGTTCACTAGGTTCATTATTACCAAAAGTCAATCTCCATTATCTAAGTTTTTGAGTTCTATAACCATACGATAAACTAGTTATGGCTCGAAACAAGGCCGGTATCATTTTACAGTACTAGAAAACAGACCTTTAATGACGCGCTTTTTATGACGCGCACTGATTAATGATACGCAAAAGGACATGCCCTTAAAATAGTGTTATCTCTCCAAAAAAAATTTAGGATTTATGTCACGCATTATTGCGTGCCCTTAATTTAGTGTCTCAAGAAAAAAAAAAAAAAAAAACACGGACGGCACTTTATCTTAAACGCGCGTCGTCTGTACCTGTCGCTTTATAATTTTAATGAAACGCGCATTTAGTAGACGAGGGGGGAAACGAAATCCCCAAAACTTTGAAAACCCGCCTTGTTTTTCCTATCTTCTATCTATCTTTCATCCTTGCAATCCACTCTCCCCTCTCTGATACTCTCTCCTTTAGATCTCCCTTCATTCTCTACCTCCTGTCTCTCTGTAAACCCTAAGCCATCACCACCTCCCTTCTCTCTAGCACGTGTTAGGGTTTTATTTTCTTTCAAGCTTCCGCTTCTCTCGTTTTCTCTCAACCCAGTACGTGTGAGGGTTCGGAATAACTGAGCGAATTCAAACAATCAATCTTCCATTTCAACTTCTTTCAACTCTGGATCATCGGGTATTTTTCAGATTCCTTTTTCGGTTTTGTTCACTTTTGAAATTGGAATGGGACCCATTCTTTTCTACTTCAATACTCTCGATCTCAAATGGATTTTCTTTTTCCACTTCATCTTCTTCTACTTCTTCTAACAAAGGTGGTTCCTGCTCAGGGGTAACCTCGACAATATGCAATTTAAAAACCCCAAATAAGTTGAATTTTTAGGTATAGGGTTCTTTATCTGGAAGCACAAGGCCATCTGCAATCGATTCAGCTAATCTGAGCTCACAGGTATAGGGTTCTCTATCAATCATCTGTCTTTTTTTCCCTTTACATTAATTACTTGAAATTCCACATTTACTAAATTACACGTCAGTTTTTTTACAGCGAGTGCAACCTTCTCCGTTCCTAATGACATATTTCGTCTCCTTAAAATTGAAGTTGCAGGTTTGTGTCTTCTACATGCTGCCTTTGCACGATCTATGAATAGTTTGCCATTGTATTTCATCTTCATCTTCTTTATCATTGCATCATGTCTACTCTGCTTGCAATCCTTATTCTCTTTGATTGGCTAGGGTTACGAGCTCTTGAACTATGGAATTTGGGGTTACCTAATTTCAGCATAATTTTTTGATATTTTGTATTTTTTATGTAATGTAAATGGTAACATCATAGGTAGCTTCAAAATTTCGATTGAGAAATACAGAAATTGAAGAGGAGTGATGGTTGCATCTTATTGAAATTCATTTGCAACTAAGGTATTAGTGGAAGATGAATCGATGGATTACTGAAAAGGTTTCTCTACTTGGAAACAAGACAAAATAATAGGAATATGTTACTGCCTTGGGTTTATCTTGGTATCTTAGTAAGTCTGTGGGGTTATGCTTGTGGTGTTGATTTCTGCGAGTATCTTGTTGCAGGGGCGGTAATGGTCAGTTTTTTCTGTTGCTAGTTTTTCCATTTTTAAGCATATTCCTTCCAGATTCTGCTTGGTGGGTGGGGGTTTAATTCTTTTGTTTTCTTTTTGTTTATCCTTGTATTGTCCCTGTATTGCCTTTCACTCTGAGCTCATGGCTAGGGGTATGTTTTTTTAATGAAATTGTTCCCATGTTGCTCAAAAGAAAGTTGGTTTATGCATCTTACAGTGTTAAAAATTTAGTCTTTGCAAATGAGTTTTAAGTAATGAACATTTTCAAACTCATGTGTATCTCTTTCTCGTGTCATCTACGTGTATATGAGTAGGGTAACTCCATTTTTTCTTTTCAAACTTTTGACAACTTTCTCATCTATTGTTTGTTCCAAATTAATTAGTACCCTCATCTGATCCATGTTCAGCTGGAAAAAATATATTGATTGAGAATAAGATGAGGTCAATAACAATAACAGGGAACTCGGTGATCTATCTAAATTGAAACAATAAAAAATAATGGATATGGAAAAATTACCTTCAACAACTTTGAACTATAATGGATATGGAAAAATTACCTTCAATCAAACTTCTAGAAGTAAATGTAGGCTGTAGAGAATTCATGTTTCTTTTAAATGCAGGCTGATACACTAGAAGAATTGCATGGTAATATAATTAATGATAGGAGTCTAGTGATATGCAACTCCAATAAGTCAGGGGAATGCATAGTTGTTCAAGGATTTAACTACTTTTGGTGTTTTTAAAGCTGAATATGCCACATTTTACTTCACAAGTATTTTCTTTCTACAATTTCCTGATGTAATCCGGGATTATAATGAGTGCATAAATAAATGCAGAAGCTCTTGATTTCTTGTTTCTGTTCCTTTATGCTTCTGAATATTGGCTACGAGAAGGATGTCAATCTGATTTTTAAAATGTGTTGATTAGATGGTGAACATAGAATGAGATGAAAAGTCTAATGCAGAATATCGTTTGAGGTCTGAAAGGGCTGTTGTTCAAAGAGCACAAGCTGATGCATGTGAGTGGGCAGCTACTGATGCAAAGGGAAGGGCAGAATGGGCAGCTTGGGCATGTCAATGATATGAGGTCATTCATTTGTCTCCAAACAGTGGGTTAATTGAGTGGGTCCCTAATTGTGACACACTTCACCAACTCATTTGAGAGTACAGGGATACCCTCCACCCTCCACTTCAACGATATGAGGTCATTCCTTTGTAACATTCTAACTCATTTCCTACATTTTTTAATCTTGATTCCATTTTTTTTAATATAGGTTATTTACATGTGTTTTATTTTTTAAATGAACGACTGATATGCGGTGGAAAAAGTTACTATGGTGCCGTTCTATGTTGTGCCTGGAGGTAATAAAATTACAAAGTCATTCTTACATAATCTTTTATCAAGTGAAAAAAAAATCTTGATTTAATTTAATTAATCAGTTCGGATGGGAAATACATTTTGTCAGGTGGAGAAGATGTTCTACATTTCCAGTAGGTAAATCCATATAATAATGATGTTTAATTAAATTACTCAGGTTTGGCTGCATCTCTCTCCCTTTTGTGAGCATATTGATGACCCCCAAGTGCTTGTGGGCTGTAGAACTTCCTCTTAAAGCTGTCAACAGTGAACATTTCAATCTGTGTTGTGTTGACTTGAAGTGTTATCTGTTATGAAAACAAACTATTTTTTGGAAGCCTTGAAATGCATTCTGGTTTTACAAAAGTAGTTGTTGGTAAGTTTACAAAATTACACCATTTATAATATTTTTCAATTTTGGTTAAATTCTGAATGAAGACTTTGACACAGGTCAACTATAGGACCTGGTGATCCTAGTTACAAACTTTCAAAAAGAAGACAAAGGATGCTTTTGATCTTCCCATTCGGAAGGAAATTATCCACCGTGTTGTAAGATGGCAGCTTGCAAAAAGATAACAGGTATTTTTTTCATGAATTTAGAAACTTACTTATTCTAGAATTTTATATCTTCCTCATTTGTCTTAACCAAAAAGATTAGAATCTCTCGTTTGTGAAAAAGACACGAATGCCCTCATCCTCACTGAATTGTTGTAGAAATACTCTTCAGTTTTATATAATATTGAGTTTCTGTTTATGGGCATTTTTGTAATTTTCTTTTTTTTATTATTTGATTTCAGCTCCCAAAAGTATTGGGACATAACATAGCAGAGAGGGGTTTGTTGGATGCTCCTTGTAGTGGTATTGGGATAAGCATAAAAGCTTTATATGGTTTTTAGTTTAATAAGAAGATTTTTTTATTTATTTATTTTTAATGATTTTTACAGGTTATATCTAAAGATGAATCTGTCAAAACCTCTAAAACTGCTATTGATGTACAAAACTTCTCACGTCTACAAAAGGTACCCAAACGCTTTCTATCAATTAATTTAATTAGATCACTTATGTATGGTTTTCAGTTTTACATCACTTATGCAATTATTCTTGTAAAAGTTTATTAACTATTTTAAGCAACTTATGTTAAAATTTTAAATATGTTGATTTGCAGGAATTAATACTTGCAACAATTGACATAGTGGATGCAAATTCAAAAACAGGGGGTTATTTGACAACTGAATATTTATTTCAACATCTTTTATTTGAGTCCTTGTGATATTGCAGAATGAAGATGTTATAGACTATGCACTGAAGAAGAGGGATGTGAAACTTGTGCCATGTGGACTAGATTTTGGACGCCCAAGGTGTCTATTTATTATTATTTTTTTTTAAAAAAATTTTGATGAATATATTTGTGTCTAAAAGAATTTGTATTATTTTTTTGAAGGTTTGTTCGATTTAGAGAACGTAGATTTCATCGATCTTTGGAAAAGACAAGACGTTTCTACCCTCATGTCCATAACATGGATGGTTTTTTTGTTGCAAAGGTATCACATTACTTTTATTAATTTTTTTTATTATTGCATCATTGAAAGTATGATAAACCCTAATTGGATTATTTGATATTGTAGTCGAAGAAAATGAGTAATTCAAAGGGAGTTTCTGCAGCTTTTGAATACTAGGATATTTGTGTCTAGGATTGAACTGCACATGCACTCTTCTGGTAGAATTTACTAGAATTATATGTACAATATATAACAGTCTCCCATTTGGTAATGAATTGTTGCTTCCAAAACAAAAAAAAACTAGCATAACATGTCAAAATCAATTGCTAAAGCAACCATGTGTAAGTTTTACTTGTAAACACAGTTTATTAGACCACAAGAGTAAGCTTCAAGTTGATCATAAAGTTGAGTAATATATAGCAGTCTCCCATTTGACTTTTTTTAGATTCTTTATGATTTGTATTTAGTTTAATCTTCTAGCCAAACCAAATTATCCTTGAAAGGAGTTGTTAATGATCATCATTTTTGGCGCATCTTGTGAAATTGCTCATAGCTGGGCTGTTAATGTTCCTGTTTGTTTTCATTTATGCAGGTAACAATCTTGTTGAAAGGACTTATGAATCAGATGTTAATGGTAACAAGTTTAACACTCGAGTCCATACGATTAAATGTTAATGGTAACAATTTTAACACGTGTCTTTGTTATACATACAAATTAAATGCAATTGATAGTATTTTTTTTGTATATGGTATTTTATTTTATATTATGCAATGGATTGTATTTTTTGTATATGGTATTTTATTTCTATTATGAGAGATTAAATGCAAATTTAATTTATAAATTAATAAATATATAAATATATTTAAAAAAAAAATTAAAACTACGATACGCAAAAATGTGTGTCGTCTTCATTTATGACATGGCCTTTCTTGACTGGGGCTTCCTTGATACACATTGCGTGTCATAAACACGCGCGTTGTAAGGTTACGACATGCAAATGCGTGTCGTCTTCCTTTATGACAGGGCCTTCCTTGATACACATTGGGTGTCATAACCGCGCATCGTAAATGCGCGTCCTAAGTGCGCGTCGTAAATGCGCGTTGTCTCTCTTTATGACAGGGCTTTCCTTGACGCGCATTTGCGCGTGGTCTGAGCGTTTTACGACGCGCAATGAGCATCGTAAACCTTTTTTCTAGTAGTGTTATGACTTTTTTCACCCGTAGACCAGCCGGTCCCACTGTAGCTAGCAACAAGGTGCGGGGTAGTCAGCCCCATATAGATCAATACACTCAAGTCACATTCTCCCTCCAGGAGATTCTGTTTACAGGGCGGTCCTCCAATCGCGTATCTTCGTGGAGTGCTACTGAGGATGTGTCTCCAATCTTAAGGATAACGAATTTACAAGTAATAATACGGAAAATCCTGTTTTATGAATGGCATGAAATCCTTTGTGAAATATAAAACATAACATTTTATAATGAGTTTCACAATTAGTTTGAAAACTAATTCTGCAAGTTAAATGGTTGGTAATATGGTTTTCTGTGTTAAAAGCATACTGAACATGTAACATTTCATACGAAATAATAAGTTTAAGTATAAGATTTCCTTGTACTTTTGCTTGTATTCCACCCTGAAAACATGAAAAATACGGAAAAAGGTGTAGGGGTATGAACTCACCAGACGAGAATGTACTGGGTAGGATGCTAAGTGTCAACTTAGGGCTTGAACACGCGCGAGGATCCTATGTAACATGAAGAGATGCATAATTGTATCTAATTAGACATTGAACCACCAATTAAGTAGGATAATACACTCCGATGCACGAAAACACTTTAGCTCGAGTGTTAATAATGATACGGGTTGCATCTAAGGAGTGTATAGCTTAGATAGGGAGTTTACTCTTCAAGAGTAAACTCTTAGGGGAGATTACGGACTAAAGACCATATCCCCTTGTGTTTACGGCCATAAACTCATGGGTGGGTTGTTTTCGGTTGCTCAAAGGTCTTATATCACTCGGGGAATTAAGCTAGGTTCAATTCTAGGGCATAGGAAGTGACTAAGGCTTCAAATGGACCATTTAGGGGAGTTCACGGTTGTAAACATAGATTTTACGGCTGTAAACTCTTACTTGTCCCTTCATTTCATGTTTTGATGGTTCTAGGTTAAGCATACATGTTTCTAGTCCATTATACAAGCCATGGAGGGACGTTAGGGCACCATTTGACCTCCTTAAGGGAGTTTACGGCCAAATGACCATTTCCTTGGGGCTTTACAGCTATAATCTATTTAAGGTTATGGTTTCTTTGATGTTTAAGCTCCTTACTTCGATGGTGGTTGGTTCTAGACATTAATCCAAGCCATAGGAGGTGTTTAAGGGCAATTTAACACCTTAAAAAGGTGTTTACGACCTATGAAGAGGTGTTTACGGTCCAAGAAGATTCTTGGGCCGTAAACTCATGTTTACTCCCCTTATGACATGTTTTTGGTGTTCTAAGCTCATTCAAGCAAGTCCCTAAGCCATAGCTAAGCACTAGAAAGGATTTGGAAGGGTTTTGGGGCTTCAAAACCCCACTTATGGGTGTTTACGGTTTGAGGGGTGTTCCTTGGCCGTAAACACATGATTTTAAGGCTTTTAAATGATTTAAGCACGAATTTGCATGTATAAAAAGCTAAACAACAAGCTAGGATGGATCACTTACGATTTTGGAGCTTGAAAGGGGCGTTTTTTGATCAAAACCGACTTGTACTCTCTCTCTACAAGTCAGTTTTGATCGAAAAACGCCCCTTTCAAGCTCAAAAATCGTAAGTGATCCATCCTAGCTTGTTGTTTAGCTTTTTATACATGCAAATTCGTGCTTAAATCATTTAAAAGCCTTAAAATCATGTGTTTACGGCCAAGGAACACCCCTCAAACCGTAAACACCCATAAGTGGGGTTTTGAAGCCCCCAAAACCCTTCCAAATCCTTTCTAGTGCTTAGCTATGGCTTAGGGACTTGCTTGAATGAGCTTAGAACACCAAAAACATGTCATAAGGGGAGTAAACATGAGTTTACGGCCCAAGAATCTTCTTGGACCGTGAACACCTCTTCATAGGTCGTAAACACCTTTTTAAGGTGTTAAATTGCCCTTAAACACCTCCTATGGCTTGGATTAATGTCTAGAACCAACCACCATCGAAGTAAGGAGCTTAAACATCAAAGAAACCATAACCTTAAATAGATTATAGCTGTAAAGCCCCAAGGAAATGGTCATTTGGCCGTAAACTCCCTTAAGGAGGTCAAATGGTGCTCTAACGTCCCTCCATGGCTTGTATAATGGACTAGAAACATGTATGCTTAACCTAGAACCATCAAAACATGAAATGATGGTAACAACGAAATGTTAGATATATTTTCATATCCTGGTCGTCATTCTGGAAGATGTAATGCTTGTTTCAGGTATCACTTATTTCTATAACATTTTAGGGTTTTGGATTGGGACTCAACGAGTCCAGAGCTATAACTCGTCGAGTTGTGATCATTTTAAACGTTGGATGAAGGGTCTACTCAATGTGTTGGAAGGCCCCAACTTGACGAGTAGGTGCTGGAAAGGAAAACCCTAAATTTCTGGGTTTTGCACCCTATATAAATAACTCAAGGCTCGTTGTCTCCTCCCTCATCGTATTTATAATCAAGAAGTAAACCCTAATCGAGCTAACTTTCCATATTGAGTGTGTGCATGGCTAAAGTTTTTGTGTTTATTTGACTTCTAGGAGAACTCAAATATTAAAGAGCTTGGAACGTGAAGGACCTTATAGATCCAACATCTACTCAGTTGTAACAACCATTTGAAGGTTGAAAGTTGTTACCTTGACCATTCTCTTGATAGATCTCTCCATTCAAGAGTTTAGGGTTCCTTTTAGCCCACTTTGGACCCATTTTTGGAAGTTGGGCTTGAGTTGAAGTTGTAGCTTCAGATCTGGACTCCTCGAGGCTCCCATAGTTATAAGGTTATTGACTTTATCAAGCTTTGGATTTTCTCCATACCCTAAACCTATTATCAAGGTTGGTTTTAGCATTTTAGTCTCTTGAAGCCTTGTATGCACGTAAAGTTGGAAACAGTACATTGTAACTCCACCCTAGGGGATTGGATCTGTAGTTTGGAGCTTTGTATTCGATTGGAAAGGACTGATGGAAAAGGGTGAAGGAAGTCGACGATTTGCTTAGCCAGCCCGACGAGTCGATTCAGGTATTCCCGCGTTTTGAATATTGGATAAACTCGAAAAGTTGATGAGATATAAGTTGGACACATTATGGTGGTAGAAGGTATTCTACCACTCTCTTTTAGGTATAAGTTGACAACACAACATATTATACTCAAAAGCAGTCGATTTTTGTTAAACTTCATGGAAAAACCTCTTGTGAAATTCTTAAAGGGAGAAAGCCAGATATCACCTATTTTCATGTTTTTTATGCATGTAGGCTATATCTTAAATAAAAAGGATCAATGTTCGAACTTTGAAGAAAATTTTGATGAAGGTTTCTTTTTAGGGTACTCAAATGAATCTAAAGGTTACACGGTATTCGACATCAATTCCCAGATTATTGAAGAAAATATTCATGTCATGTTTGATTATGACATTTATACGAATGATCTAGTTGATCATCCTGCATTCATCCTTGATGAGCTCACTCATTATCCATCCGAGGATTACGATTTCATTGAATCTGTTATCTCATTTAAAGCTTATCTCCCTTTATCTCCATACTCATCTCTCAAAGGCATTGTTCCAATCAAATAAATTGTTAAAGAAACAAGTGAAAATACTTCTCTTGTTGAAGTCATTGAATCTCTTCTTACAAACTACGAAGATCTTCCCAGGGATTCAAATAGATCTAGTCCATCTTTAATGAAATTGAGTTTCATCCCTGGTCATCATGCAGACCAAATCGTTGGAAACATCTCTGATGGCGTTCGTACTCGGCGTCAAGCAACATAAAACTTTTTCTTGTACGTAAACTTTGTCTCACTGATTTAGCATAATACGATAAATGATGAATTCAAAGATGTTGATTGGATTTAATCCATGTATGATGAATTAAATGAGTTTAAACGTCATGAGGTAAGGAATCTTGTTCCTCGCCTTGGAAATAAGACAATTGTCTACACTCTATAGTTACTTTGTAATAATGTGGA